AATTTATTTAAATTTAGCTTTATGAGGAGAATAGTTGGGGAATGGAATAGTCTCCCTCTTGATAATCGAGAAGCATCATCTGTGGCAGACTTTAAGGTGAAGGTTTCTACATTTTTAAATCTTTGAATTCTGTATATACATTTTTGATCTTTTTTTTTTCTTTAATGTGTGTATATCAGTAGGTCTATAGATAGGTTGGAGTTTCTTCCTAGAATGGTGCTGCGGCACTTTTTGAGGATTCTTCCCATTTCAACACATTATCATGTAAATACTTTTATTGTTGTTGTTGTTAAAATAAAGCTTAAGAGAAAGGTAACCTTTCACATTGTATATGATCCATTGTAGTGTCCTCTTTGTAGCTCGTGAGAATATAGCGGGCTCATTTTTCATCGTGTTTGACATCATGATATGTTTGCGGCATGAGCTCATTTGAATTTAAAACTAGATGCATAGCTGCGTGAACTCGGGCTTTCAATAACGCACATCTGAAGTTATCTTTAGGGGACTGCCATATTGCCATTGCTACTGTCATCACGTAATTCCATCTTTGCCTGTCATGAATAAGTCTACTTGTGTTTATTTTTGTTTGCTGGAGTGTAATGAATGTTATGGTACTAGATAACAATCAAAATAATATATTACTATATAGGAGTAGGTTACTACAGATTCCAAGGGTTGAAATTCAAGGACTTTTCAAGGAATTTTCAATGACTTTGAAGGCCAAGTTTTAGAAAATTGAAGGACCACTTTTGGAAAGGTTTGCATAAGCAATTTTAAAATCATTTAATACTATTTCTCAGCTTTTCCATGAAAGTACTGTAATTTTCAACTGGAAAATTGCTTAGAAAAAGCATTGCAAGAATCAAGCCCTAGTCCTCAAATTCAAGTTTTTTCAAGGCCTTGAATTTTTTAGTTTTAAATTCAAGCACCTTCAAGGACTTTCAAGGCTTTTAAAAACCTTGAGTAGGTTATGTATTTGCCTTTAACTGGAAGAAGGGAATTTTTCAGCTATTATTGGTACCGATTCATAGTTTGTTGCCAAATGATCACCCAGGGGGAGTTGTCAGAAATCAGTAGATTGAAGCAATATTAATGTTCAGTAGTTCATATTGTTTTTAACAGAAAATCTCTGAATATTGAATATTGTTGATGGCCCCAACAAGAGAAGTAGTGCTAGTTACAGTTTTAGTATATTCAATTAGAGGCATTTGACCTTCATTAAATACCAAGAGGGAATACACATATTTTGATCTTTTTGTGGGTTTAAAAGTACATGTCATACAAAAAACTGAAAACCAAATCAAAAACCCTGTGCATTTACCATTATTTCTTACAAGATTTTCAAGAATTGATTTTTCATATAATCTATTGCCATACTGAATAACATTAGATAAGGTGTTTGAATTCCAATAACTACATGATTTTATTACGGAGTAGCAGAGTGAATAGACACCCACAGCACAACTCACATTGAACTTTCTGGTTTCACAGGCATGACTCTGAAAAAGGTACTATTTGGAACTCTGTTAATTTTAACCCCCTTTCAACTCGAATATATCATTGTTATGTATACTCTGAAAATAATGTACTAAGCTATTCAGTGATGGTACTTCAAGCAGCACACATGTACCTTGAGGATGGCTTCTGCGATAAATATCCCTTGCACGAGAATTGAATATTTTCAAGCCCACATCAACTTTACCATTGATAGCAACTGCAGTACATCCTATTGTCAAGACAAAATTGTTGAAATTTTCAGATAAAAGTGATTGAAAGGCTCTTCAGTCTTGAACACATTTAAAAGTGTGGTTAATTCTGTCTGCATTAAAAATGATTGTCTGGTTAACTGAGAGAAACTTGAATACAACTGAATTCCATTACTCATTATTGATAAGAGATCATTGGCAGAATTGATTCATTGTTTGTTATTGTAAGTCAAAGAGCATAAACTCATTGCAACACATTGTTGTCCTGAATTTTGTCTCTATACTTCAATTTCATCGTCCTCTGATATACCCTCACTGAGCAATTCAACAAATACTTCTTATCATGTTTTGTAACTTTATTTAATCTTACCCTCTTCGTATTAAGCTTACAAATATTCTTTGTAACTCTTCTAACCTTCACATAACGACGTAGCCAAGAGGACTAGTACTTCAGTACATATGCTTGGACAAATACGCACATAAACAAATTCCTTTAGTTTTATGCCCTTCCTTCTGAGACGTTTCGGAGTAGCTTCTGGTATTCTACTGAGTTCTCGATCATGTCTAAATACACGGTTGTGTTTACATCTAAACATAATATGACATAACTCATTTGATATAGCAGGTTTCGCTTGATATTTCTCGATAAAAGGTTCACTCAAAAAGGATCGCTCGTAAATTGATCTGTCGTAAAGTCTGCGAAACGACCCGTTCCCAAATCCCTCCACAACTTTTAGTGCAGTTCTACCGCGAACGGTGTGTGGCTTTGTATATACATTGGGCGTAATAGCCAATGAATTTCTTTCGGGTACATCAAGCAAGGAATTGTCCACGAAGGCATCCATTTGCTTTCTTCCTTTAAACCATGCGCTTTAGGGTTCGTTCTACGCATGCGCGTTCATTGTACGCATGCGCTGTAGTGGAACTGCATTTTGTGACTGAACGCAAAAAAAATAAAAACACAGCCGAATTTATACCTCGGGCGTTTCCTTCGGAAAGCCCGAGTAATGAGCGAGGAAATCACTCCATTTGTGGGAGAAATGATTGTTGACTTAGTTGTTACTTAATTTCTAATTTCAACATTGTAATGGCGAGGTATTGAACATGGATCAATATGTTTAAGTTAGTGAGTTTGTTCCATGAGCTGGAGCCTGGATAATTTTATGATGTTTGTATGACTGTATCACTATGATTCAAGAGCAATTTAATCTATCTAGGGTAAAAAAGTTTTGTGTGTGTGTCATAATGGCCACCAACTTTTTGGAGTTAGCTACCACTTTAAAATATTTAGGAGCCAAGTGGCTACCAGGAAAAAAAGTTAATTTTACGCCCTGCAAATTTAAACGGTCTGAAATGGGTAATGTTATTGGGTAATACTTTTGAACCACGAAAGTGACAAACTTGTCATAAGTGTTCAACCAATGCTTTCAGCCATGCCACTCCCTCATATGAAGTCATCAAAGAGGTGGTAATCTCAAGGTTTCATCTATTTATTCTGTTTTTCAGATTACATTTTGGTGCCTTTCACGATTTATTCTGGCGATTAAAGCTCAAACATCCAGAGAAAGTTGTTGTCAGCTGTCCTGATGTCATGTTCGACACTTATGAGCCAGAAGTTCCGGATGAGAAATATGACGCCTTGGTTAAAAAGTGGGATGTGAAGAAATGGGTGGAATCAAATGGACGAGTGCGTTGGTATGGATGCAGAAGAGGTACACACAACAGTAAATCTTCCTGTGGTATACCAGGCAAAGGATTCACTGTTCCTCCTTGTGACTTGGAGAATCTTGCTGACATAGTCAAGTTTATCATGAGGGAATGTGAAAATACTGGGATTCACTGTCAACTAAATGCAGGAACACTATTAGGTAAAGTGCTCATGTGTATCTTATGTTTTAGGAAAGTGCAGTTCAAATAGACTCTGTTTTTGCCTTTTCAAGATTCACATAGGTTCCTACTGATGGAAGAAACAATAACCACAGGAAGTTGCTCTGACCTGTGTCAGTCCTAAATATTTACTTTAATTCGTTCATGATCGAAATGCTTTTTTTGTTGGAAAGAAAACAAAGTTATTTTGGTGGGAGTGACTGTAGTTTTTAAGCTTTTGATCTTAAAAGAAGATCAATCAGACACCATGAACACCACAATAATTAAAGAGTCATTGAGATTCTTTGAAGTGAAACATTCCAATCCGATTTATTTTAGTTTGTCTGTTTTAGGTGCTCAATTTATGGTAATGGTAATGGTTTATTAGATATGAATTCGGCACTAAAATGAAATACTTCATATTTACAAGAAATTACAAAAAATATTTACAAATTAAACGAGACTATATTTAGGCAATGTTATGATAAAAAAAAAAAACAAGTTCAGAAGAAGATAATTTTCAACGTTATTAGTCCTATATATTCTACAGTATGTATAGTCTAAGAATGCTATTTTTTTGGAACGACAGGAAATATCCCTAAGTGTGCATAGCTGTTTTCTTAAGGCTATTGATTTAAAAAACTGTAATACATCAATCTAAATCAGAAAGAAACTTATTATGTAAAACTTACATTATACAATGAACTGAGGGAGATACCATAGCTATAATCATGACCACCACCATCATGGTGGTTGAAAAGAATTAAAAATATTTTATAATAATAATAATAATATTTAACGAGGGAGCCCAACTCGCCATGGCGGTTTTCAGTGGGGCCCTCATTTTCAGTTAATCATCTCATACTAATTAACTAGTTTACTTCTTAACTTCTCTTAGGAGCTGTTAAATTTAAGAAGATTTTGCCATGGGAACGTGATGCTGACGTGTACTTTATTTCTGACAATTACACGGCAATTCAAAAGCTTCGTCCGAGGTTTGAAGCCGCAGGCTATACGTTTAAAGATACAAAAGGGACTGAATGCTGCACAAATGGACGTCGCACATCTGGCATTTTTTTAATCTATGGAAATGGCTGGAAAGTTGACTTTTACGGTAGACCAACCCTGGAGGCTGAGATACTTGTGGCCAATGGTCAGCAGCCCACCAAAGTGATGTTAGCTGGTCAGTGGGTTACTGCAACGCGCAATCCTGGACTTGTTGCACGTAATCGGTATGGACCAAACATGTATCACCATGTAGAGCATTGGTCTATTGTAGGAAATACACATGGGGATGCGTTATACAAATCGGGTGTCTGGAACAAATGTCCCAAGCCGGGACACACGGGGTGTCTAAACCAGTTCCAAACTGATGGCGATCGACAGTTTGGTGACCACTTTATGACCTAAATTGCTTTTCACTCCAAGAACACGGAATGGAAAAACAGAGGGGGTCAAATTTTGACATACGCATCAAACTAGCTGTTTATAGTAAGTAAGTAAGTAAGTAAGTAAGGACTTTATTTATAGAGGGGGACACGTAACAGCTGAATAGCAGACAAACCTGTGGCCCTCTAACTAGATGATACAACATTACAAAAAACTGATAAATAAATAAATGTATAAATAATTACATTTAAGCTTTTGATCTTAAAAGAAGATCAATCAGACACCATGAACACCACAATAATTAAAGAGTCATTGAGATTCTTTGAAGTGAAACATTCCAA